GAGCCGAAAATTATAATCGTAAGAGTCGCTGAGATTACAAATGCAACCATCAGGACATTTTCCCTATTTCTTAGTAGAATCAATAGAAAACACACACCACTCCCCTCGTGGTTGGCTAAGTGATAGAAAATAATAAATTACCCAGCAATCAAAATTGAAGGGCTGTATTAGCATTCTAATACTTTGTGATTTAGAGTATTCCTTCATCCATTTTCAATACATCAATCTTTGTTTTTTGTATTTGACCTAACTTTTGAGTTTTGTTTGCTGTTTCAATATCATACATAACTATACGGCGATAGTCACTTCTCTATGACGTAGAACGAAGCCCTTCCGGTGCAGATGATTATCATTTATCGGCTGCTTAAATTATTAAGAGCTACCACCTACATGGCTTGCCTAATGTGGAAACGCTTCACCTATTTACCAATTCACACTTTACCCACAAGAACTAGTCGGGACTTTGTGAGTTTGGGCGAAAGCATCATTTGGTGGATCCTAAATGCAACTCGGCTGGAAACAAGGCTACTCCTGGAACGATGCTTCAAACATGACTAGCTAATTCTTAGCTTCGCCCACCCTGGACCGGTGGACAGGCCCTTATAATGCTACCCCAACTAACGAGGGCAGGATATAATGCTCCCAACAGATAAAAATGAAATCTCTGAAAATAAAATAGCAGACGCTAACTTGAAATTGAATATCCCCCGAACTATAGGCGTATTCACGTAGCAAATCACTTGACACAGCGTTCACGTCATTTCATTGGAGTAAACGTTTCTGAAAAATGCGACAGTCATTGTATGGCACTCGTTTGCTAAATTCAACATCGACCACACTGAATGATCTGTGTAGGTGTGATATTATCCTCTATGGGTAGTAGAATGCGAAACTCCTAACTACTGTTAAGTGTCATAATGTTTAGCTCTACGTACACTAATAAAATGGTGACTTATGTTAACGACGGGTCGGACAGTTTGGGTTGACTAAATTCCGAAGTCAGATGGACAATCTGTGAACTTCGATTCGGGGGTTTCGGGTCTTTAGCGTACTGCGTGGTTTAGGGTGATCTTTCTTGAAGCCTCTCCTCAACAATGTTCGCCATCCAACAAGACAATTTCGCCAGCCACCACGTCAAAGTGAAATCACTTATTCTCGTCCGAACAACGAAGTAAAGAAATGCTATGCACGGTTAGTGCTTACACAAGTGACCGGCTGAGCTTGCCGGGTATTGACGGCTTTCTAAAACCATTTGATATGAGAGTAGCACTCGTCTGCCACGTATGTCATTCAAGTTTGATTCCCATACAACGCTCCCCTAAACCTCTCCAGACCGAAGTGAGGTGGGTAAAGCAGGAAGGTTGGGTTCAAGGCTGAAGATAGGTAGTCTCTACTGGAGCCTCGATACTCAAGCACGAAACATGATGCTCCATTCGGAACGGGAGAAGACGAAAAATAAGCTGCAGAAACCGTATTTTGCCGTGCTTTTTGTATAATCCATCTGTTCAGTGAAAGAGGGTCCAATTTACGGGGAGGGGGTTCGATGATAAAGTTGTGAAACGTCAAACGCACTACTGATTATCCACAAATTCTTAAGGCATTCAATGCATCACGTGCCCGAATACGTTAATGCATATTTTCTTTCCAGAGTCACATGAGCACACCTTGAAAATTCAGTTAAGTTCAATAATGAAAATGTTCCCTAAAGGAGACATAATCTCACGATGAACAGTTTTTGAAAGCAACTAAGCTGCGAACTCTAATATGACTTCAGACTGGCCTTCCTCTGTAGCTTCTACGAATATCAGTTTCCTGTGCTATGCCTTTGGGGCACAGCAGTAGACATAAATAAACTGACATAAGAGGATTAATAATCCATAGCCTAACTATGTACATTTCTCCCAAATCATAGAGTACAGAAGAACAACTCAAACAGCCCTAAGATTAAGTGCAACTCATAATTCCTTAAACTTGTAATTTTCTATGGGTACTTTGGAACGAAAACAAACAACTTCATTTAGTCATATGTTTCTTGAAAGACGTTGTATTTCAGACCGGATGTACTTACTCGCTATAGACCACAGAACAGTTAGTAAGCAGAATCAGAACAGCAGTCACACTGTCCACAGTACCAGGTATATTTCGAGGTCATTACTGATAAGCAGGGATGTGAGCTTAGCTAACTTAACATTGGGCATAAATACATCGACATGTATGTACTGGTTGTATTCAATGTAGACCTTAATTAACCTTTGGCGTTCACTCGCCGGTAATCACCAGTGGGTTGCCAATCGTTACTATCCTTTTTCGGTACCATATGCAATGGGGATGCCCACGGACTATTCGATGGCCGAATGATGCCAAGGGTGAGCATATGATCGAATTCGTTTCTGGCAATTCTCAGTTCGCCAGGGGCCAGTCGTCGTGCTTTAGATGTCACGGGCTGTCCTGAGGTTATGATGTGGTGCATAACATTGCTGGTTATACACGGGAGGTCGTTAGATGGGCAATTCAGTTCCGGATATTTGTCAACAATCGGTTGAAAAGTTGGATCGAGGATTGCTTTCATCTTAACGATTGACAAGCTGGGGCCTACGTAAGTTATGCCTTTGATAGACAAACTAGTAGTGCTGTCAATTAGTCGTTTACGGCGGACGTCTACGAGCAATTCATGATGATTAAGTAGGTCCGTGCCAATGATGGGCATGGTGACGTCAGCGATTTGGAAAATCCACTGAATAGGTTTGCGAAAACCTACGTTCAGATAGACGTATTTCCGACCATAGGTTGCAATTGGTTTTCCATTTGCAGCCTGTAGGTTGAAGTTAGGATCCTTCTATCGATCTGCTGCTGTAGCAGGAAGGACGCTGACTTCGGCGCCTGTGTCTACTAGATATCCAGTCTGGCTCATTACATCATGGATGTAAAGTAAGCGGCTAGTGCCACCGGCGACGGTTGCCGCTAACGCGTGCCGGCGGGATAGTTTCCCACAGACTTGGAGGCTTTGCCGAAATCACAAGGTTTTCGACAACATTTCACTTCCTTGCCATGGGTGTTGTGATACCAACACCAGTCAGGATTTTTGAGAGAGCGTGTGTTGGACTTAGATCGTCCACGTGCGCTTTGCCGTTGAGGGGATTCAGAACGACGATAGGAGGAATTACTAGGCTTGTTTGACCTAAGCATCTGCTGGACGGAGTTGATTAACTCTATCATCGCAGAATCCTTCTTCGAAGTCTGTTCGGTAACTGAGTATACTTCGGTAACTGGCCGTTTCGTTATCTCTGGAATTCTATCTGCAGAGACAGCTAAATCATCCATGAGAACACCCTGAAGTGTCACAAGTACAGTCTGAACTGACTGTGGCAGTTTGGATAAAAATAGTTCTCTAAACAGTCCTTCATCGAACTGACTTTGGCCAATGATCTCTTTCATTCTTGCCAGCATGCTCACGGCTGACTGATCTCCTAACTCGATGTTACGAAATAATTCATCCAGACGTTGTCGATCTGTGAGAACGTTTCTCTTGAGGATGGATGCTTTGAGCAACTCGTACGAGTTACTTACCGACATCTGCAGAGTTATGCACCTGCTGAATTCCCGCGGTAGGGCGTGAATAACTGCAAGGAACTGTGAACGTTGATCAGTTATGCCATGTTCACAAAAATCAGACTCAGCAATCTGAAACCACGTTTCAGCATTATCTGGCCAATATGGTACTAGCTGGATTGTTTTGGCGGTTGAGCGAATCTGAATAACCTTGGGGCTAGGGTCAGTCATGACGAAAAGTATGCCGATAACAATATAGTACAAGAATAAACACAAAAAGGAACGAACTCACCGGGTTTACCTGCGTGTGAATGGAAGATGTAGTTCGTGGTTGGGCTCACCAGTTAAGCAATTGCGGGTATCGACGTTCGCGAATTGTACGGATTATCCTAACGCAAGATCTTATACCAACAAATTCTATAGTGTTCGTTCTTCGAGTACCAAATGGTAAAGCAAAAGACCAGATTTTGTCGTCCAAAGTACGTATTATATTTCGGGACAAGATCGCGGGTAGAGGTGAATGCTTAGCTAGCTAGTAATCGTGCACGCACGTGACACGACGGAGCACCAAATGGCGGGGATGCTTGACCGGAAGCCTTCAGCTAAACAAGTCAACTTAAACAGTGGTGGTCAGCATCCAATGTTGAGTGATGATTGCTGTGGTTAATAATTTTGGGGAATTATTTACCGCTACAAACCGCACTTACTTAAGACTTCTCTTCTTTATACTCTCATCAGTACTGTACCTAATGTGTAAGTACCGATTAACGAACTCGAAGTAAGAAGGCTTGTGGCTTGGTAGTGTGCGCTGTTGAGAATCATATTTTTACTACAGATTAAATGTCAACTTTAATAAATAAGAATGTTGTACAACTTACCTGTTAAGTGGTTGGAGTAGCGATCTCGAAGAGGACGCTTAATTATAGCACCACGTGCGAACAGTCACGCCGGAAAAAAAGATGGTGTGGCGCCAAAACAAAAGTTCAAACATTCAAGGTGCACTACAGATGCAACATGATAGTGAGGCAAATGTCGAGGATGATTTGCCGCATACCATCAGCCGAACCAGTCTACCTGAGCGGTGAATCCCGGCATACAATGTCGAATAATGAAATCTGTGATCGAATAATTTCGGAGAATTATTGATCGCTACAATGCCCTATCACTCCAAAAGATAGGTTTTCCATAAGCTGAGTAGAAATTTCCCCTAAGTACACAAAACGAAGATGGTTCAGATAGTTGGAAGACTTTGATGTCGTTTGGCTGGCATCTCCTTTCTAATAAATTATGGGTTATTTGAATTATTTGCTGGGTCAATTAGTTTGGGAGTCTTGAACACCAAATGAACTTACTCTGAACTGAAGACTTCACTTACTGCTATCGATTTTCCGAACAACTATTTTCTCGGTCAAAAATTGAGTGAAATTTTAAGTTTTACTATTTCTCCATCGTAAATATGTGTGGCGCCATTACGAATCTCTAGGTTACTGCTTTTATTTTCTCTTTTGATGTGGTCTTTGCAAGGACTGGCATTTTCTATATCTGTCAGCAAGCAAAGAAGCTGATTATGACAGTAACTGTTTTTTTTTATCATCTATCAAATCCACACAGGTACATCTAAAGTTACTTATGCCTGATGGATCATTTTATGAAAACGATTATGACCAAAGTACTACAGTCGAAGAGATAACCAGTTCTTTATTCAAAAACTGGCCTCATAGTTAGTAATATTTTTAGTTAAGCTAGCATTGCAGGTTTGGGAAATAAACCAGTATCTAACCACCTGAAACTCATATTTCAGGGCAGATTCCTTTCTGGTGATTTGACGCTCGTAGGTGAGTTTTTCTGTTTCACTTTTCTAGTATCAGGTCTATTTGTGTGGCGTTCATAACTGATCATTTTTATAGTCGCCGTATTTCGCTACCTCCCAGTTATTACCGTACCTAATAATTATTTCGGACGCACTTTAAGCAATGAATTCTATGGGTTTAAGGTTTTTATTCATGCTTTCCAATTTGGCGGGCACTTATAACTATATACATAAACTTGTTGTCTTTTCAAAATTACTAGAAATCAAATGGATTCGTCAGGTCTTCGAAAAATTCGATTAACGTCCTACACTCGGGAGTGCACGATACCTCAGTGGTTTTTCTATTTTAAATGTATTCAGTGCTCCAAAAGTTGATAACATTTGGATGTGACTCCTGTTATATATTCTGAATCTTACTGCTTGGAAATGATAGATAATGTACATTATGTGTAGATAGTTGATGTCAGTTGTGATCACAAAATCTTATGATTGTAGGTATGCTTTAAAACTATGTAGTGTAGTGGTGGCGTGGTATTCATATGCTAGCACTAGTAGTTGAGTGCCTTCAGTGTGTTTTTCTTTTTAGTCATAACTGTTTCTATAGACTTACGAAATTTCAAGCGGTATCTTGTTATTCTAACTTATATTTAAGAGCATTGGTTTACGTTCGTGGACTGTTTTTACGAAATGTAGAAAAATCCTATTCCAGTGGTTGAGTATTCTGTCAAATTCCATGCGCCAAAAGCACTTTTTAAGGAATACAGGGGGAATCCTAACTTAGAAGTTTAAATATATTAATGGCTGGTGGGGATTTATGTTTGTCCGAATGAGACTACATAGGATGGAAGTTTGTGACTGAAGAAATGTCTACTGTGTTTAGTTGACGAAGGAAAACTCGATTAAATATTCCTAAAAGTGGTTTCATTCCCTCAATACCTTGAAAAATTTTATTTGCCTTTTAATAGATTATGAATGTTTCAAATGTTTTGATAAGCTAAGTAGAAAAAGTCAAATTAGAAGTTTTTTATTCGCCAATCTGTTCGCATAATAAAAAGAGACGTCTTGTATTTTATAAAACAATTGGTAGCAACTTATACTGATAATATTTGTTATTTTCAGAAAAGATGTCTTGGGGATTCTTTTACTGAATTTATTGTGGTTTAAAATAGTTTTATAGGGAAATGTTAAAGTTGTTGCTTCTTCCATATTCCACTAGCTGTCACTAAGTGTGTTTCACAGAGTGTAAAAATACTAAACTAAATGAGCCAAATTATTTCTGGTTAATCACCTAATTGAGTCTAAAATTCTCTGTCTTAACTGAAATGGTGTACAACAAAGTATTTTGATATTTTGTTTCCACTGGCAAAGTAGAAAAGAAATAATAAATCGAGCATGTTTCCGGAACTTTTGTGGTAGTCAGAAGATAGTACTGCTTAGTGGAATGAAAAAAAAGGTGAAATTCTGCACAATGTACCGTTATAGTGACAATTCTAGGGGGTAAATATTTTGTGTGAAGAAACTAAATCAACGTTATTTAGAAAGTAGCGTTTGATTTTACTTGTCACATTGATACATGATTGAGCCAGTTATCTATCCAGTGACTTGCCGATGGGTATTAAAGCGGTATAGCCTTCAGTAATAACCAGCCTATATACCTTGGTAATATAAACCTAGCGCAGCTACATATTCTTTGTGAAGGTGTAGTGTATTCTTGTGTCTTACTTCACACTACGCTTATTAATGTTAGAATATTTAAGTATCATCACCGTTAGTAAAACCAAATGTATGGGGAAAAGTGTATTAATTTAGTTCATCCATCTATTACCCTTCAATCTCTAAACTATCTTACCTTGTTATTAGCCTTAGCACAAATGTAGCTAATGGCTAATTGCTCAAATTAATAACTTGCTGTAAATGCCTTTCGTTTTTATCAAAAGGTTTTTAATAGCTAATAAGTTTTCAATGTTTAAGGTCGAAAAAGAGTATCGTATGTTTAATCAAGATATTTTTTGAATAAATAACGGTAGGCGCTTTGCATCAACATTTCTAAAGCTAAATTATCCTGTTTTCACTGTCAGCAGTTCCTGTTAATGACTGATAACGTCCTTTACGTTGCAGCATTCGGATACAAGCATTTCAATCTTTGAGTATATGCACTATTGTCAGAAATAGACATTTGAAGAATAGAATTTCTGTAATAGACTCAGTAAGAGTTTAGTAGTCTTTGCTTAGAATAAAAAAAAACAGTCGGATTCACAGTAACCCGAGTATATCATGTATGATTTTACTTTTTGTCTACACGCCACTTTTTCGAGATTTTGTGCGTAGCTGTCGCTACTCGTTTCTTCAGGAATCACATAGCATTAACAACAAGTTAATTTAGCCTGTTTTACGAATAATGAGATAATTACACAAGACTATTCCATAGGCAGTCACTTTGCAATAAACTAATCCTCTTGTTTTTACAAAAAATTGACGGTAAGCTTCTTTATGTCTTCTGCGTTTTAGAATTGAAATTACCTCCTGAACAAATCACAATGCATTTAATTCAACATGAAACAATGCCATTGCCAAGAATTAATGGTATGAATAATTTTCTATATGTTTTTCAAATGAAGTTTTCTTAAAATTTATCAGAGAAAGTTGCTTGTTTTTTATTCAGTTTTAATTTTCCTGTTGACTGAGTGAACCGAAATGTTCGGCCCCAGCTGACACGTTAGCTTGTAGTACGATTGCTTCGACGATGTTTGATGATTAACTTGAAGTAATCTGGTGATAGGTAACTAGTAGTGGAATCCAGCAGATGCACGTTCTCTCCTATTTGGAACTCGTCATCTCGATGTACCTGCACTCCCCAGTGAGTGATGGTGCTTAAGGTTCTATCTCCCGTGTTAAGTGGTATAATAAAGTGAGTAATATTGAAGTTAGGTATCGAGTGCTAGGTAAAGGGGAAAATCAATCGACTAGTTTCTGAAGGTACATTGATTGAGGTGGTTAGGACATGTGTTACGCATGCCTAGCCATCGCCTTCCTCGATGGGCAATGTTAGCTGACACATAATTAGATTGGAAAAGAGCTAGTAGTGGTCAAACCAAAACATGACTTCACCAGTCAATGAAATCCACAACAGCTAGGTTAAGCTGTCCACATAGGGAGGTGTAGACTTCCTGACTGATTAGGGTCTTCGAAATTGTAGAAACCAACGGCTGGAGATAATCGGTGATATGGCCCAAAATCCTCGTTCTCAGTGGCGCAGATACATCTAATCCTAGTTATTTATAATATCCAATAAAATTCTATTGTTCTTCCATATTACTATCCTTTTTGCCTCATATTTCTGTTTATTATCTCTCTTTACTCCCTTCTCGTGCTTTGTGTGCTACAAGGAAGGAGTGTGGGAACTCGAATTGCTGCACATCTGTGCAAAGTTCTACGTCGAAACCAGTCAGTTAGAGTGATGGTGCACCCATTACAGCTCGAACCCGGTACCCATCGCTTCAAACACCAAAGCATTATCCACTAAACCACTAGGACTACGAGTGCAAGTACATCCAGATGGCGAGTAGCCCCAAATAGGACGAAATCCACAACCTGGTGGATTCCTCTGCTAGTCGATATTCACCGAATCATTACTAGAGAAAGCTCCAGACTAGGGGCACATAAGTATTTTGTTACTGATTACATCAAGCCTAGAATACTATACAATATAAACCACCTCTAAGCGTTACGCACTAACGTTTGTCGTATGAATTGCTCAATCGTGACTGGAACCTTTACATTTTGATAGGATTTACCAATTTAAATCATTTTTTAGGATAAAGCTGATTGTTCATGTATACAACAAGTGAGTAAGTTACCAGTGTGACCAAACATAAATAAGCTTATGAGAAGTTGTACCATAATGCCACACCATAGGAAAGCTGTAAACACAATTCTATTGGAATTAGGCATTTACTTCTTACGACCAACAGCTGAAAAAGTAAAAATCTCGATATACACTAACAACTATTCTTATTTTCTGCCTACAGTCGAGACCGTTTTGTATTAGATGGTTGAAGGCAATCGGCAGGAAGCCTCGTCTGACCACCTAGGTAAATTGTATCTGCAATCTTGGAGGAACTCATGCCCCTTATGAAATTCAAACCCGTGTCGTCCATGGCTCCATGTTTGCAGATGTTACCACTGAGCTATTCAGGCTCGTGACTGACCTGCTGTCGGATTGTATTAGGTACTTTGATTGGACACTAATTAGTGTCGTGCGTCTAGTCTTTTGTTTGCTGCAGACTGAATTCTATCACAGTCACTTGAGGAAACCATCAAGTGACATCTCTAGACAAGCCATCGCTCGAGTGGAACCCGGAAGGGAAGCGGCGAGTTGGTCGTCCAAGGGTGACTTGGAGGAGGTCATGTGAAGAGGAGATGAAAGCATGTGGGCAGACTTGGAGCCAGGTGGAAACTCTAGCAGAAAACCGAACGCAATGGAGACGCGCGGCTGAAGCCCTATGTTCCTCTAGGAATTAAAGGAAATAATAATAGTAATAAGTTTGTTGTGAGACCACTTCAACGATGACTTCTATGGAATATTTTCAAACTTGTTTTAAGAGATAAAACAAATATCTATTATAGGAATAATTGGCAATTGTATTGTAGAAGTATTTAATGAACGAAAACGGTTTTTTATATTAAATTTGTAAAGCTACAGCTTAGGAAATTGATAGTACTCAGTTTAATCCAACTAAGTAAGGCAAACTGAACAGCCTTTTTCATTTTGGATCTAATCTGTGATATTATTTGTACAGAATTGACTTATTGGCCAATGAGTCTCGGGTTTGAGTCCCGCTCCGCCTAATTCAGCCCGGAAAACTGCGTATTATCACCAGTCCTTACACAATAAGTGTATTAGCTCTTAGCCTGGTGCATGAAACGTCTGTTCTGGGTAGCTGAGTTCAAACTCAGACGTCATTTAAGTGTCATGATGTGAAACAGTAATAACAATAATCAGTGTTGTCAATATCTTGAACCTAAGTGGAATAATAGACCAAGATATGTAAATAGATTCGGCACACATTTAGTAGGAGACACTTTATTATTGTAGGCTTTATAGTCTAGTAATAAAATAATATGCTCTACAATCACAAATACTGATGGATCGTGAAAGACGAGTAGTTTCGTCAGATGCAAATACGATTAGTATTATTCCCTTAGGTTCCAAGTAGAACACAAGTCTTCAACAGTATATATTCACTTCATCCTGATTTCTGTAGTTCTCTTTAGCTGGCTCCCCAACTGTCTGTAAGCTCTCACTTCCTCCTCATACGATCTCCTGCATATTACTCTTGGACGTCCAACTCGTCGTTTCCCATTAAGGTCCCATTCAAGGGCTGACCTGGCGTACGATGTTACTCAACTGTCACCTCAGCGTATGTCCAATTCATCTCCACTTTCTTCAGCATATTTGTTGGACTATGGATCCTTGTCGGTAATGGTTTCTGGCTAGCCATCTGATCTTCTGTATGGAGCTCCTGAAGGTAGCTGTTGGCAACAGTTTGAAGCCTGTTCGAAATACTCATGGTGACGCGGGTACTAAGTCTGACTGTCTTGATATTACTGTTGAAAATCCTGATCTTGTTCTCTATGCTTAAGTGCAAGTAGATTTCTTGACTTATTTCAGAATAATGAAGGTCTGTCCTTGGCCTTCCAATCCTATCTGCCTTTGTCATCTTCATCCATGCCGCCTGTGTCTGTCTGTCTGTTTTCGACATAGAACTTTGCACCGATGTGCAGCAGTTCAAGTCGCCACACTCCCTCCATGTAGCACACAAACCAAGAGAAGAAATGCAAAACAGAGATAGTGAACAGGGATATGTAGCAAAAGGAATAGTAATAACGAAGAACAATATAGTTTCATTGGAAATTATAAGTTACAAGAAGTGGATGCATCTGCGACAACCATTGGCAACGAGGATTTTGAGCCATATCACCAATTGTCTCCAGCAGTCAGGAAGTCTACACCTTCCTACTTGGCTCAAAACTTACTGTTGTCGATTTCATTGAATGATGAAGCCATGTTTTGGTTTGACCACCGCTAGCTCTTTTCCAATCTGATTGTATGTCAGCTAACATTGCCCATCGAGGTAGGCGATGACTAAGTGCCACCTGTGTAAATAAGTGACAATATTCACTTTTTATCTAAACTCCGTAAATATATTAGAACAAGAATGAAGGATATTCAATGGATAGTCACGGTAGGAGCTACTTATTAACTATCGAAAATCATCAAGATTAACTGTCGTTAGAGGAAGTGTTATAGACTGGATAAAAAAGAGCAATTTTGAGAATATGGTGTTTACATGTTTAACTAGTTATCGAACATTACTAATTAGACTGACAGCAACTTGGTCACTGAGAGTGGAAGACATGAAAAGATTAGCTGCCTTCGATCATAGGTGTCTGCGTTCTATCTCCCGTGTAAAGTGGTACAATAAGGTGAGCAATATTGAGGTTAGGCGTCGAGTGCTAGGTAAGGCGGGGAAATCAATCGACGAAACTGTGAAATTACATCGACTGAGATGGTTAGGACATGTGTTACGTATGCCTAGTCATCGCCTTCCTCGACAACTGGCAATGTTAGCTGATATAGGGCCAGGCTGGAAAAGAGCTAGCGGCGGTCAAACCAAAACATGGCACCAGTCAATGAAATCCACAACAGTTAGTCTAAGCCACGTAGGAAGGTGTAGACTTCCTGGTTGGGGTCCTCGGGACGGTAAAAACCAATGGTTGGAAACAATTGGTGACATGGCTCAAAATCATTCTCGATGGATGCCGCAGATGCATCCACTCCTTGTGACTCATGGTTTCCAATGAAACTATATTGTTCTTCGTTATTACTATTCCTTTGTCTCACACCTCTGTTTACTGTCTGTATTATGCACTTCTCCTACTTTCTTCTCTTGCTTTGTGTGCTACATGGAGGGGAGTGTGTCGACTTGAACTGCCGCACATATGTGCAAAGTTCTATATCGAAAACCGACCGAGACTAACAGCATATTAGTCGGAACATAAAATTTGCATGTTGTATCTGTTATCCAATCGTCCAACAGTGAATAAGGTTCAGATTTATCTTATCGTATAATTTTATAAGAAAGCATTATTGAACAATTTTAACGAAGTGTAATTGTGGGAATTTATCATGTGAACTTACTGTAAGATGATGCTATTTAGCAAAAAAGATTTTCACCTTAGAAATAATGGGGAAGATTTAATAACTACTCAGATGGGGGATCGTATTGATGCAGTTGAGTTCTCTAGCTGGCTTGTTTCACTATAGAACCGTGCACACCAGAGTCAGCAGTCCCGGTTGTCACACTCCATGCAGCACACAAAAAAAGTTAAAAAAAAAGCTTCGAAAAAACGATAATAAGCAGGAATGTGAGGAAGAGAGAAAATAGCAACATTGAACAACAATAGAGTTTGATGAATAGAGCAGGTCACAAAGAGTCAATTCATCTGCGCCATTGAGAACGATTTTGAGCCAAATCATCAGTTATCTCTAACCATCGGTTCTTAGAATCCTGAGGATGCTAATCATGCAGCCTATATCTCCCTTTGTGACTGGTTTAAACTAATTGCTAAAGACATCATGAACTAATTCTAAATTTTGGATTGAGTTAAATTCTCTGAACTGGGTAGTTTAATTATAGGTTTTCAGACCGTAGGTGTTACGAACTTCCTGGAATAATTTGAGCACCGAGTCAGATTGATTCATTATAAATTATTTAAATTAATCCCAGCGTGTTTAAGAAAAAAAATCAAAACAAGATCTGTTTTCTGAACGTTTCGCTGTGTAAGTCACAGCTTCTTCAGCAGATTTATTCGGATTTTAATTAATCATCAAAATATATAGTCAGGAAATTTTTACATAAATTGAAGTCAGTTTATTTGAAGGTCACTTGTCCATGGAAGGATTTCATTCACATAAAGAAAGGTTGACCTCTGAAGCCTTGCACATTTTAACCACATCGAATGCAGTAAATAGGAAGAAAAGAAGCGATAGACTTATCACCTATATGGCAAACTCTTATGAAGCAAGACAGATGAAAAAATAAACAACAGAAACTCTGTGAGCCTTCATGACCTTTTAAAAAAATGTATTATCATGTTTATCACATGTGAATTGACGTCTTCACATATTTTCAAGTATTGGTTTTGTAGGGATTGTTTGATTGCATGGAGGATTTTATCATGAGCTGATATCAGTCACCTCATATGACAAATAACATACATACGCACTCATACAGAACTAATCCTTACAAATCAACTGTAGAAAAATATACACGATAACAATTTGACATTAGTCATTACAAATATATGTGATGACTGCTTACATATTTCTATTGGTAAAAATGTCCATGAACATGTGACCTTCAAATAAACTGACTTCAATTTATGTGAAAATTTCCTGACTATATATTTTGATGATTAATTAAAATCCGAATAAATCTGCTGAAGAAGCTGTGGCTTCGCTTACACAGCGAAACGTTCAGAAAACAGATCTTGTTTTGATTTTCTCAAACACACTGGGATTAATTTAAATAATTTATAATGGGTAGTTTAATTGCAAAGCTTTCATTGTCTTTCTCAGTCTTCGAAAGAGAGACAATTATATTATTAATGTTGTGTGTAAAGTGTACATTAAGTTTATCAGACAAAAACACAATTGGTTATGAACGCATAAAGGTGGTTTAAGCTTTCGAATTGCTAGGGCTTCCACAAACTTTAGGATACGCCCCAAACACGTTTTATAGATAATTACGTGTGGACACACATACATAGGGAGGACTCATCGATCTCTGCAAGTAAGCGCTTCAGAGCATATTCCTAAATGGCTCCAGAAACAAATGGAATCTTCAGAACTTATTAATGGTGAGAACAGGAGACCTAGGTCTTCTATTGCGAAACATATTATAGAGACAGGACATAAAATTGACGTTAACAGATCTTTTAAACAATTGTTTAAGGTTATTTTAACTAAAGTGGGGGGTGGGGTGAGAATTAGTAAGTTTTGGGTGAAGTTACGTAACACAAAAACGGTCAAGAAAATTGGATGTTACTGAAATTAAGTTAGTAACAAAGGTTGTGAGTTGTCACAAACAGTTGTTAATAGGGAGTTACGTAATGGTATAAACAGTCTGATGATTGAGTTGTACTCAGGATACACATCGAAACAAAGCAGAGAATAGGAAATTACGTAAGAGTTCGAAATGAATACAAAAATTATAAGCAAGTAGAGAAACAGGCAAACAAACAAAATTAAGTCATCAAAAAATCAAAAATGTTGTTACCATGATAGTAGAAGTGGTTGATTAATTCTCTTTTGTATACACACCTCCGATTTTTCTATGTGAATGGCCAGAGCTTCAACGATACAATGAAAACGAAACCGTGTTGCCTTTGGTAGGTTATTCTTGACTCTGTAGATTACTTTGAAGGAGGCGTGTTAACCAGGTGTTCAATTATCGCAATCCTTATAACACCACTATCACTTTTTCGCAACCATGCTGGATAGCGTTCTTGAATCCTCTGGGACAGTATGCGTGTCAAACGACCAATATACCTGGGTGGCTCCACAGCAGCAAGTGAACTGAACTGTTACTACACGAGTTTCATTAACACCCAATTTTCTTGACCCTCTTTGTACTAAGTAACTCCACCAAGAACCTACTAATTCTCACTCCCCCCCCCCCCTCAAGTTAAAATAACCATAACCAATTATATTTTAGTTTGACAAACTGCAATCAAACAAAATCCCTACAAATCCAATACTTGAAAATTAATCTGATGCTCACTAGCGACTGACCCTATTCAGACAGTTGACCTGGGGTCCTAGTTGGAAGCCGTGACCAGTAGGGTACAGCAGGTTGAAGATGAGGCAGTAACTCATCAAAGAAGACATTGCGAAATGGTCGCGCTATGTCGTGAATTGGCAGAAGTTAGAATTCATGGGCTGGCCATTGGATCAGGTCCCAGTGGCTCAATGGTCTATGAGCTTGCCTTGTAACCAGAAGGTTTTGGATTCGAACCCCGGTGGGTGCGTACTGCTGAAGAGTCCCAAACTAGGACGAAGCAGCTGACCAGTACTCCCCGATAGGTTTTCCAGTGGTTCTCTAACTGATGTCAGCTCATGATGAAATCCTCCATGCAATCAAACAAAATCCCTACAAATCCAATACTTGAAGACTTAATGTACGCATACCTAACCTTTATATATTTGCGAGTGTACAGCTGAGAAAATGAATTCGCCGGAAAGAGACTCTTCGCTGAACTACGTGTTGTGTTTTCATTAATGCCTGGATGGGGATTATCCATGAGTTATATTATTCACAGAAACAACTCGATTAAGTCAATCCTAGTAATAATAAAGCTTTATTTCAGACAATATGTGAACGTATGGTACAAGAATTTTCAGCTTATTTAGTTCCAAAATAATTTTTTCTCCATACAGGATTTACATGTAAAGTAATAATCTGAATTACATCTTTATTTCGTTGAAGAATTGCACAGCGTTTACTTGGAAGCCAGTTTAAATCAGCGCCCAAGTTCATGTATAGGTATATAACTGATATAACTGAACGATTAAAACAATGATAAATCCAGATGAAATCAAGCATTTTCCATGAGAAGCAATTCCCGTAGCTCAGTGATTTAAGCAGGCCGCCTTAAGTTCACTCTATATAAGAGTCTACGCTGAAGATGTTGTCTAGGTAGACATCCAGGTCAGATAATATCAACAACTCTACCAAGAGCTCCACTTTTATTTAATTGTCTATTGATCATGTTAATCACTTATAGCGGTGAACTTTAATGCAATGGAGGAGGTAGCTGTCAAACTCCTACTTATTACAAGTTTGGCCACAGATTGATGTCAGTTAGAGAACCATTTAAAACCAGCATTGGAGTACTGGACAGGCAGCTGTTTCATCCTAGTTTGGGAATCATCGGAAGTACGCACCCACCGCCAAGGTTCGAACCCAGGACCTATCGGTTACAAGACAAGCTGGCTCGTATACCATTCAGCCACTGGGACCCGATTCAATGGCCGCCAGCCCATGAATTCTAGCTTCTACCAATTCGTGATTTAGCGCGACTGGCACCAACCAATGTCATCGGCGGGAAATCCATCCTCACACTTGACTGGATGGACCTCACTGGTCATGACTTCTCACTAAAACTCCAGGAAACTCCATCCTGTAGCAAGTCACTAGCGAGCATCATATTAATTTTAATTCCTAGTGAAACAAAATAACCTACTGCAAGTAAGGACTTGGAAAATTGTTTATATAACTTTTTTGTTTCATGAATAATCCCCATCCAGAGAAATAAAACACACAGTTCTGCGAAGAAGAGTCTCTTTTCGGTGGCGAATTCATTCACTTTGCTGTATAATTGCAATTATTTTTGTATGTGTGTGTGTACATTAAGTTTGTCAAATAAGAATAAGAGTTAGTTAGGGTTGTTGATTACGTCATCAAAATATTTCAAAGGAAATGTGATGAATAATCAAATTGTAACTAAGTGGGTGAAGATCAATAAGACGGTGGTAAGAAATGAGTTTTCAATGCATAAAACAAGTTGAATAGGTGTATTACAGTTACGTAATATGAGGAATAATCTAGTGAGTGAGCTTTGATGAGAATGAATATAGAAATGAAGGGAAATATGTAAGAGTTATGAAGAAATACAAGAGTTATAAGGAGTTAGAAAAGCAAGCAATACGAGCATCAGGTCAGTAGAAATCAACTCTCTGTTTATCACCCCCACAATACTGCAACTATCCATATCATCTCAACAACAACTTCCTGTAGTTTTACACTGTAATGTTACACACAATGCTGATAGTATGCTGGATAGCAAAAATAAGCCACTAAAATATTCCAAGTTGGATCATTGGAAAGCCATAATTGGAGTACCGGCCAGTTTTTTCGTCCTAGTGTGAAACACATAGGCAGTAGCCACCCACGCACACACACGGCCAGGGTTCGAACCCAAAACATTCCGGTTGCGAATCAATTGCTTACAAACACAAACTCTTGACAATCAATCCAATGTCCCTAGTGATTGGCTACAGGATGAAGTCGCTTGAGGTTCTAGTGAAAAGTTGTCACCGGTGAGGACAAAATACTCACCAGCGATGACGTTGGCTGATGCCAGTCGTGCTAAAAATCACGAATTGGTAAAAGTTACAATTCATCGTCTGGCCAGTGAGTCAGGTCCCTGTGGCTGAGAATGGTCTATGAGGCTTGACTTGTAACCGAAAGGAAGGTTCTTGGTTAGCGAAACTTGATGGGTGGGTGGGTAGGTAGGTACTTTCGATGAGGCAGCTTGTCCAGTACTGGTTTTCAACAGTCCTCTAACTGATATCAATCTGTAATCAAATTTGAAACAAGCTAAATCTGTCTGTTTTCGACATAGAACTTTGCACCGGCGTGCGGCAGTTCAAGTCGCCACACTCCATGTAGCACACAAAGCAAGAGAAGAAAGTAAAAAAGAAATGCAAAACAGAGACAGTAGACAGGGATATGAGGCAAAGAGAATAGTAATATCGAAGAACAATATAGTTTCATTGAATATTATAAGTCACAAGGAGTGAATGCATCTGCGCCATTGAGAATAAGGATTTTGAGCCATATCAACAATTGTCTCCAACCATTGGTGTTTACCGTCCCGAGGACCCCAACCAGTCAGGAAGTCAACACCTTCCTACGTGACTGGCTGGCTTAAACTAACTGTTGGGGATTTCATCGACTGGTGCCTCAAACTAAATCCCTACAGAGTAACTCTTGAGAACTGAAAGATTTGAATTCTCTAAACACATTTAACTGAACCTTCCCCGTCCCCCTCTCCGTTATTTCGTCAAGTCAAGAAAATGCATGACCTTTTTATTTGTTCAGTTTTGTTTTTTCAAGGCTATTGTCAAATTATTGTCACAGAATTATTATTATTACTGTTAAATAATATTTTTCTTAAATAGTTTATTCATACTGATTGACCTTTTATTTCTACAAAAAAGCAAAACAAAAACAAAAAAAACATTTGAACTCATTATATATCTCTTTTATAGGTCAACAACGAAGATTCAAACGAAGACGTTGTCGTTTAAATTGTCTATCATGTCTATCATGACACATCATTAATTTTTTTGTAATTTATTCAAATGATTTAAAACTCATGTGAGAAAAAACAAACAAATAATTTGCCAATGTCTTTCTTAAAGAGCCACTTTCTTTAGTGTCTCTTTCTCAACTTGCGTCGCACCCCACTCCACCCCACCCCC